CTTATAGCAAGTAAACTACTAACCATTCTGGGCAGGAGAGAAAGGATCCAGTATGCAGGGGCCCAGGTTGGTTGGAAAAACAGTTGGGTTGGTGGACAGGTGCTAGAAAGGACGAGGCTAGGAGTCTCCAGGAACCAGAGGCCGGGTGACTAAGGTCCGTTTTCCCCTCAAGCCTCCTCCCTAGGAGTCACGGTATTTTTTCTGCTTAGATCAGCTTATTTGCTACTACTGCCCAGTTGCTTCCAGAGCCAGGCAAATGCCTCACCTTTGCAACTTTTCACTCTTTTCTCTGTCCTCTCCCTTCTTGACTCAATCCAGCAGAAGTGAGAACACTGGTGGTAAGAGGTCAATCTTTCAAACTTACCCAGGCTTTGGCCAGATCATCCGTGCTGAAGGTGAGAGCATTATTTGTTTATTCAAAACTAACCAAAAGGTCAACAAACTTCGGAAGAGTGTATAAGTCACTTTTTTATTCATTCATTCATTCATTCATTCAGTAAAGACTGAGAACCTATTATATATCAGCTGTTGTACCAGGCCCTGAATTTACAAAGATGAAAGAAAGTCCATGTATAACAAAAGAGTTCCTGATTTTAGGTTATTGTTAGAGAATTTCCAATTTCCAATAAAAAAGATTTTCACTGGGTTCCCTCACACTGACAGTGAAGGTTGAGCATTCCCACGTGGGGTGGGCACTGGCTTATGATTCCTGAGCTTATGAGCAGCGGTGACCTTTCCTCCCTCCTCTTCCAAGCAAGTGTTCCAGCCATGGAGGTCCTTCAAACATCCCCAACCACCCTCAGTGTGTGTGTGATGTGGGGAGCAGGGTGCTTGCACACATATACACACTGTACCTCATAGGAAGGAAGATGACAGGTAAGGGTATGTGAAGTACACTCCCAACCTTCCCCTATGAAGGGTGTCTCTTTTCACTTAAAACTATGCCAAGAAACTTAACAGACTGGTAGGCAACTGCAGAGTGTGTTCTAATACTGCTTATTGAACATGACAAAACCCTACAGAAAATTTGGAGTTTTGTTATAGGATTATGCACAGGGATTATTTTATGGGATTTGGACTGTGTATATATGTGCGTGTGCTCGCAAAGAAACGTCAGCTAAGTTTTCTCAAATGGCAGCTCACCCAATGAACAGACTGTTCATGGTTTGTCTTGTCAATTCATTAATTTATACCCAGCAGGACTTTAACCTCAATCAGGGACTCCTAGTGCCGCAATTGGTAATGTTGTCTTGCAACAAAAGCCTAAAGAAACACAACACAGAGGAAGGAGGTTGTGCTTCTGCTTACCAACTGCTGCAGCTGATGCTGGAGTTTTCATCCCCTCCCTCCCCACCTGGAGGGAGAAACAGCTGCTGACTGCTGATGGCCCCTTGCCGTCCAGCGCCTCTGTGGTCCACAGGGCTGATGATATATGGGTGTTGCGGCCTTTGATTTCTAGGCTTTATTCTGCTGATGGTATGTCAGTGAGGAAGGTCATCGAAAAGACGTGACTGCCAGTTGGTGCATGAGTTGGACCCTGGCCCTCAGGCTCCTCCCTCCCTTCCGTGTCCTCGGAATGGGGGTTCTGCTTGCCTCTCCCGTTCCCAGAGGCTGCTCTAAGGACACAGCCTTGCTACAGTTGAGAACACCTGCACGGTGTACATGACTAAACCCAGTCAAGGCCTCCTTATGAACTTTTAAGATCTGGCGAGTGGGTGTGGGATCCATTCATCTTGCTGCCGCCCAAGACAAGTCTTAAATGTCAGTCCCCTTTGCTTCCTAGAACTGCCACCTACCAAGCCGGAGCGGCGTGGCTCTTTCTTCACCCTCTCCCTGCCCTCCATCTCCGGGGGTATTTCACATTCCACCAGGAAAGCCTCGGAGGTTACGAACGAACAGGATCTCCCCAAACTTCTTCTCCCATCAGTTTCTGGTCTGTCCTTTGTCATGATGGCTAGGAGGGGCCGCAGCCTGTCCCTGCAGGCACCTCCCTGGCCAAGCCCCAGCCCTGCAACTTGCTCATGTTTTGGCCCTCCAGGCTCTGAGAGATCTTTCAGAAGGGATTCAGGATGAGGAAGAGGTGGGGGGTGGGGGGTTGGAGGGAGGAACTCTCCTTCGCAAGCTTATTTCTTTGGCCAGGGCTGTCTTTAACCTGCCCAATCAAGGTATAGACAGGTTTTCTGGCAAAGGCCCAACACGGAGGTCACAGCTGCCCTTTCAGTAGTGATCCTTTTACCAAGAGGTTTTAGAAAATGGTTTTTTTTTTTTGAGAAACTGTCTCTGGAAGCCCTAGGGCTGGTGTGGTCCATTAACAGGCACTGTCTCCAAAGAGTCCTCCTCTAGAGGTCTACATCCTTGAATCTAGGTGAGGAAGCCAGAGACCTGGGGCCTTTTAAGGTGCCTGCCTTCCCCACCCTGCTGCCAGGGGCTGAGTCAACGCCCCAGTGAAAGTAGCCGGCACCCTCTCATGCTGGGTTTTTCTGCCCTGGCTTGTCTGAAGAAGGTAGGAGAACGAGAGGAATACTAACCGCCCTGGAGGAAATGTGGTTTGACGACCTGCATCGCTTTTTACATGCCTTTCATCTGACTTGCAAGAGGATCCACTGGGCTCATGTTTGGTTTTGGTTCTCAAAAATAATTTCCAAAAAGTGTCTGCTAAAATAAAAATCTGTCAAAAAGTGTTCAGATCAAAGAATCCCATACAAATCTTAATTCACTGGAGATTTGAAAACAAGTCTGTTTACCTATTAGCAGAATCTGAAAATAGTCGCCGTGGACATGGTGCCTTCCAGGGCTATCGTTTTCAAGCTTCCGTGCACATTTTTCTCAGAATTTCCAGCTGAGTTCTGGCTTTTGGGAGCTGTGGCCAAGTGCTAGAGTATGAAAGAAGAAAACAAATCTCCCAGCCTTCCTATGGTAGGCCTCTTCAGCAAGGAAGGAGATAAGCCAGTGAGAAAGAAGTGATTGGGTGACAGTCGCTGTGCCCCGTGGCCGAAGTGTCAGAAAGTGATTTGCATGAAAGTGAGAAAGTGGTTCTGACAAATTCTGCTTTCCATTAAGTGGGATTGGTTTCACCCACTCTGATACAGGTCTTCCTTCACCACAGGGCGTTTTATACTCTGAGATTTCCTGAAACAAGTTTTAGGAAGGAGCTGGAAAGGTCTCTCAGGAGGAAGGTTGAGCTGTGTTCAGGGAGCTCGCAGGCATCTGGCGGTTGTCCACAGCAAGAGCAGATGAAGACCTCTCAACAGGCAAGAAAGCTGGGAAGACTGGTGGTGTCTTTGGGTGGAAGCAGCAGTAAGAGGAGCCAGCCCTCGAACAGAGATGCAAAACTGGAAGAGGTAGAGAACTACAGAAGGAGTTCATCTTCTACAGAAGGAATGGAGGAAAAAATAGCTTTTAGGAATAGGAGTCTAAAAAGATTAAGTTGATTGTCAAATGGGTTCGGTGTCCTGGAGAAGACTCTCTGGTTGAGGCTGTCTTCTCTCTGATGCTTCATCCTCTCAGGCAAGCCCACTTCACCAAAGAGCTGGGTTTTTGAAGTAAACAGCTCCTGGAGTCTGCACACATCTTCCCCGGCAGTGTGTCCAGTGGCCGTGTTGATGGCTACCAACCACACTCCGAACAGTCCTTCACAACATCCCCCACATGGCCACGAGAGCTAAGGTGCTCGCTTGCAGCCAAATGATCCAGTCCTTGGACACATAACCAAAGGGCTCTAAGAAGTGGCCACCAGGGGGTGGATAAGAGGAGCAGAGGGTCTACCAGCTCCGGCTTACCACTCCAGTTAAGTCCCTGGGACAAAGAAGTGGGCGCTGGGCGTGTCCCACACCACCACCATCACTTACTTGGGTCTACTGAGCTCAGGTGAGAATCTTGACAGGAAGAGACCTTCCTTTCTGGGCATGAACATTCAAGTGAGGGCTTCCCTAACCATTTCCTAGTGTCTCCTCAAGCCCTGGCCCCGCCGTATGGCCCCCAAATTGCTCAGAACCCTTCTGTACCTTCTTCCTATCCACGTGCCCATCATGCACTCTGCTTCGCTTGTGGGAACACAGGAGACAGCCATTATGGGGAGCTCCTGCCTCCCCCTGAAGCAGGCAGAGACGGCTTGAGCGGGTGCGGGCGGCTATAGTCCCTGAGGCCAGGAACCTTGAAATTCGGCTGGCGGCTTGGGAGCGTCGCATTTTGTACTCATCACCGCAGCTGTTTTGGCTGCTGCTGGTTTGGTGTAAAGGGAAGTGAAGAAAGCAGCTTCCCTGAAAAACTGTACTCAGGTCAATCATTTCTGGGACTGTGAAGACAGGATTCTTTTTTTTTTTTTTTAAAGATTTTATTTATTTATTTGCGAGAGAGAGAATGAGAGACAGAGAGCACATGAGAGGGAGGAGGGTCAGAGGGAGAAGCAGACTCCCCGCCGAGCAGGGAGCCCGATGCGGGACTCGATCCCGGGACTCCAGGATCATGACCTGAGCCGAAGGCAGTCGCTTAACCAACTGAGCCACTCAGGCACCCAAGACAAGATTCTTTATGCTCTAATCTTCTCAAGTAACCTTAAAAAGATGTAAAATCATCGGTCTGTAACACAGAAAACCTTTAAACCGTCTGCCATATTTCCATCACAGGTGCGACGGGCGGCATCCACGTACTGGCGCGTGCTCTTGGGACCACCACCTGCACAGTGGGGGAGGCAGGATGGGGCAGAAGGGCAAGCTGAACCACGATGCACTCGTTAGAGGAACTGCCCAGTTCCATGAGGAATTCTGAAACTGGATGGCACTTCAGATACCCCCAAATTGCGGCAAGGGAGCTGGGCTCTCGTACCCTCACCAGCTGCTTGTGGGCACAGCTGCGGGAGAGGCAGTTCTCTGCTGAGGGCAATTCCTGGGGGGACACAGAGCGTGGAGGGAGTGTCCTGGTCGTAAGGGAGGGAGGGTGGGGCAGTGTACCACAATACCCTCTAACCCCCCCATCAGCCCACTAAGAATGAGAGACCAACATTATTTAAATTATTTATTTTTTCTATAGTACATCTCATTCAAATCATAGAATAGTCTGATCCATTTTTTTCTCAAGCACAACTTAACACTCATCTCAGATGTTTTTTCTTTCCTTCTTTTAAGCTTACAGGATGGATAAAGATACACTTTAATGGACAAAAACCATCACTCAGAGTTTATTAAAAATACAACTTCCCGGGGCCCACTGCCAGAGCTTTGGAGTGTCTGGGGTGGGTCCTAGGGATGCAACATTTTAAAACTCTGCTCCGTAATTCTGCTGCAGGTGGTCCGTGAACCATCCTTAGAGGAACACTGCTTAGGACTTGTCTGTTATCTATTGGAAGCAATCTCAGGAAATCCAGGTATAATTAAGTATACAGAAATAGCTCTTCTATAAAATTTCCATATAAAAATAACGGTATTTATTTACAAAGTTTGAGATGCTATAAAATAATACATCATATTAGGTTAGGTACTTCGATCTAGTCAAGTCTACATTAGGCAAGTCAGATGTGGTGTCTGCATCTTCCCCTTACTTCTCTTGTTTAAACTGCTTAAAGCATGTGGCACCACAATGTTTCCTTCATGCAGAAAAAAGCAGACCTATATTTTCTGGAAATAAAACCCAACAGCACATGATCAGAATAAAGCATCTCCAAAGGAAAAGGTTAACAAACTTGTGATTTGGGCTCACAGCCTCTCTTTTGTCTCAAAGTCAAGTGTGGTGGTGGTAAACAAAACAGCTCAAGGAACTCACAGTACCAAACCACGGTCCTCTGAGCTCAGGCCTGCGGAGTGGCTGGCCAATGCGGTTGGCCAGTTGCTAACAAAAGGTGGAAACTGCCATCGTGCTACTAGGAGGAACAGAACTGCAGTGTGCTCAGAGAAGTCTTCTAGCACAAAAGTATCTGGGTCTCCAAACTGTAGTATGAAAAAAAACACTGACCCCAGTCATGAACAAGCAAAATAAAACATCAGGCCATTTGTTACTAGGTGGTGCCTGGCATGTGGAAGATGGTGTATGATTAGTGATAACATGGTGAGTTTGAAGTGACAAAGGGTTTTCACCCGCAAACATGATCTGGGGGAGTTTCCTTGTTGAGACAGACATGGACAGAAACAAGCTAATGTGGTACAGAAGGATCCACTGATAACCCCACCTCTCAAGCCTGCTGCCAATGACCAACATGCAGGACGGTCTTTGCTCACGGAGGAATGAGTTTCTTCCCAGGTGTGAGGTCTAAACCTGGGGTCTTCCAGGTTGAAAGAGGCCCAAAGCTGACACCACAGTCTCATGTTGGGGACTCACGAGTGGAGTCCCACTTCTGCTCCTCGGCTGTGAAGCACTTGGTGCGACAGAGAACTGATATTTATTCAAAGCGGTTTAGAAGGACTATGGTGAGGGTGTGGTTTTTCAGGAGGCCATGTGGCCCTCACAGGAGGAAGAAGTTCTGAGTTGTGGTGCAGACTCTGCCAGACAGGCCAAGGGATGTTAGACAGGTCAGGCTCTTGGCTTGTTTCTCAATGAATGGGGCAGAAGAGATGGTCCCTTCCATTCTGAGACCCTTGGTGGAGAAAGGGTGAGTCCTGCCCCTATTTCATCTACACTGGCTTCCAAAGCAGCTCTAAGCAGGGAGGCCCGAAGTCCAGTCTGCTGGAATAGCAAGGGTCAAGATAGCATTGGATTCTAGAGCCCTTTTTATAAAGCAAAGTTTGTATAAGAATGACACAGGATTTTACCTTGACTGAGAGAACAGCTGTGCAGAACGCACATAAAAAAACGAATGCACTTTCTGCTGTCTCCAGTACTATCATGCATGGCCATCTGCTACCATTCAAGCTTCCATACTTGTCAGAGATGCCCAGGGCATAACTGGAGGGTCGAAGTTTCATGTCCTCCACTTTTTCTTCTTTAGCATAGTGTGAATGTAGATGTATGTGGGGGAACTGGATCTCAAAGGTTACATAAGCGTAACTGTTCAGAGATACCTTGAAGAGGCTAATTCCTGAGAAATGTTATTATTTATGTGGGTGTTTAAATTTTTCTTAAAAAGGTAAGATCTTAAGCAAACATCAGGCTTTTCCCTTTTGAGTAATAATGTGGTTTCCCTGAAGGTTAAACTAACTGAACATTGTGCCGACTGTGATTTGAAGGGCAGGGAGGCACACTCCTGAGGCAGATGGCCCGGTGCAGGCCCCTGGCACACACCTGTGTCTTCCATAAATACACATTTATGATCGGCAGTGCCTAGGGACCGCTGCCATGGGTCCTGAAAATGGGGAGCCTATTTGTGAAAATATCCTGGGGGAGTCTTTAGCTCCACTAAGGCCAATCCACATGTAGAGTAAAAGACTATCTTTTATGTATCTAATATAAAAAGTAGATTTTTATGTATCCAACCAGTTGAAAAACTAGAAGAAAACACCTAGAAAAGTGATTACTTTTCTATGGTATAGGTTCCATTGCAAGGTGATGAAGCTAATAATGAGAATGTCATGGGTTAGTTAGGTTTATGGATACTGCTGGTAGCTAAATTTTTCTTTTAAATCTTAAAAATTCCTTAACAAACTCCAAAATGTATGCTTAAAACTAGAATTTAGTAGCAATTCCAAGTGCATGTTATGGGACAGAGTGGTATGGCAAGTCTTTCAATTGTCTGACCCAGGACAAATGTCACTTTCTCAGGGGGGGCCTTCCCTGGCCACTCTAGCCAAAGTTGCCTTTCCCCCCACTGTCTTATTACCCTGTTGTTTTTTTCCCTTAGCACTGGTCATTCTCAATGTTTTCTGTTCTGTATTCACTCAAATACCTACTGGAGGATTAAATCTTCACATTCACTGTCCAACACCCACCCCGTACTTACCACTAAGGAGGTACAATCTTAATACCTACATCCCAGATTTGTTGGGGAGACAAACTTCTTTCATATGCCTGAGGATAGGGAGCTGGATAGGTATTTAAAGGGCCCTTAAAGTGAACCACTGATCAAGTTAAACAGGCAACCTGCCCCCCCCACCCCAACTCTCTGAGTGTGGTTATGAGAGAAACAGCTTTGGCAGCTCCCTTCCTTTGTAACCCTGCCCCCAAGAACACCCAACGCCACTATGTTCTGACTGTCCCAGGGCCCAAGTTACATCTATACCTGGAGCAACTTTGCTGTCTCTGTGACCCAAGCAGCCAAGAGTTGTGGTTTAACAAACACGAGTGACAGATGTCTGCATGGCTAAAGGGAGCCACGCCTTTGTGAAACATCTCCATCTTAATGATCTGGTAGGAGCTAACTTGCATTTGAGGGCTGACCCTGGCTTTATTTTTCAAGTATGGCAGGGAAATTTTGCCCACGAGGGGTTCTCCTCTTTCATCCTGCTAAAATGGCAGAAACTCCCCACCATTTCTATAAAGAATTAAATTGTGGGAAACCAAACATGTGGTCATCATCTGTCATGTTGCCCAGGGCCAGTGCGCACAGCCGAGGTGAGGAGTCACTGTGTCAGCACCCCCTTTCCTGCCCGCGCCACAGCGTCCTCCGTGGTCATAAGGCACAATTCACGTCAGCACTTACTAGGGCTGTTCTCATCCCCTTGTCAGCACAGGGAAGGATGAAGTAGATGAGACAGATTCACGGTGGGGGGAGGGCGAAGGGAAGCTCGGGCAGGTGCCTGGGTGCCCTCCCCGCGTGCGTGCGGGGTGGCCGTGGCAGGTCTGGTGCCCCCTGTGCACGTGCTAAAGGGAGCATGAATTTACTGACCGGCTGACACGACGCACTTGGAAGGGTCACAGCTGTACTGACCCTTGAGGAGGAAAAAGGCCTCTCGAACTCCCCGGAAAGCAGAGTGGGACCAGCACCTTCTGGGAGCAGTGTCTGTGTGTGCGCACTCACGTGTACATGCGTGTGTGCAGGTAATCGCACAGGCTATGCCTGTGAAGAATCCTGGATGTTGTAGCCATAATTTCCTAACATTTTGTTACTTTGACTTCCATATGGAATTGTGACTGAGTGGTGAGCTTTTAAAAAATCTCTTTAGGGGAGATACGTAAGAATAAAAGAATTCATCTTTCTAAACATCTCCGCTTAGTCTTCCGCTCAGATAAGGTTTTATACCAGCAACATGTGCTGGTGGCCACAGTGTGACTCCAACAGGTGTCCTCAGCAGTAAGCCAAACACATTACTGAGGGACAGAGACCATTTCCCACCAAACAGCACACGCATATGGCTGAGAGGGCCAGTGATGGGGCACCAATTATGTTAAGAGTCTTTGGTTGCTTTTAAAAAAACAAATCTGTATTTTATCAGTTTACAACACTATAGCAGCAGAGAGAGAGAGAGAGAGAGAGAGAATAGAGAAAGGGATGGTGTCCCAAGAGCTCCAGCAAGGATTCTGCTATTTGGTGGAGGAATGGTAATGGTTAATGTACCTGGCACAAATGCTGACGTTCAGGTCTTGGAACCTGTAAAAGATATTCTGAAGACTAAAGAGCCAGCTGTGGCCCTTGGCCTCTCCAGGTCCCTGCTGGGCCCCCCTCAAGTACAGGGATGTGGGTGGTGAAGGCTGGAGTTAGTAAAGGAGGTGGCAGTTTGGGAGGAAACTCAGTTTTACTCAACTGTGTAGCTGATGATCTTCAAGTCAGAAATGTCTTGGAAGCCCTCAGGGCCCCGCTGCAGCCTCTGCGGTCTTTCAGACTCCTGCCATCCCCCCAGCCTCAGAGGTGTGCCCCAGAACTTGGGCTGAGACAGAATTCTCTAAGAACTGCCTCAACCTCCCTGCCCCCTTGACCACTCCGAGTCTGCACTATGGCTTCTTTCTGACAGAAGGAGTGTTGTCTCAAAGGAACTTACGTTAAAGTTGTGTGTTCTTGTGTATTCGTTTTCACGGCCTTAGTAAAAATTTTAGGTCAGCCAAATCTTTCACCTCCGGCTCACTGGAAGCAGAGTGGAAGAACTTTAAAAAGGCATCAGAAGGCATCTGTACTTCCCCCATGGATTTAGAAAAGCACTGATCTGGGACCAGGTTAGTGCTGGGCCCAAAGGTGCTAGGTTAATCTAGAGGCAAATCCAAATGATTCGAGTCAAAGAGATATCTTCCATTATTATTTGCTCCTTCTCAAGGCCTTACTGTGAAATTAGATCGGGGTTTGGCCATGCTGACAGATGTCCCCACGCTCCCCTGTTCGGAGGAGAAGGGACTGTGAACACACCAGTGCAGTGCTCCCGGTGGCGTCTTTGGCTAGGAAACAACATACTGTATACCGCACGATATGAAACAGATCCAATCGTTTGGAGTGGTCAATATTTTTCCCTGTTTCTGTGAAACACTGAATATCGGGTTAGTTTGAAATGCAATTTAGCCAGGCATAAACCCAATACGGTAATTTTGATTAACGAAAATGTACAAAAGGTGACATGTACAGGAAAACATTGCTGTCCATATTCTTGAAATAGGCTTTTAAGACAAAAGTAATGACATTTGGTTCATTTTCACAAATTGCACACTGAGTGAAATCATACAAGTACTGTAGGGAACTCCAAGCAAGCAGTTCGGTCTTAGGAATTTGTTTCTTTGTTTTGTTTTAAATGGAAAAGCTATATGAAATGCATAGCTTTGATTAAAACTAGAGATACAATTTCCTTCTCTGTAAAACTCCAGATTTAGAATGCTGGCAAAGGCAGTGCTGGCGAAGTATTTAATGCACGTGGAAATGCTATTCTATTTTGGCTTCCAGAAGTAGCCCTAGAAAATTCTATGCACCAATGCATTGGCTAATAATGATCATTTCAGTTTTACTATACATTTTTCTAAATGTCACTTAAGTACTTAAGAATTAGCGCTTGCTCCTTTCTAGAAGCCGTCTAAGGCAGCTGATACGTCAAGCACCTCAACTAGACTTTCAACTAGTTCAGCAGTTCAATCTGTGCTCCTTAGACCTCAAGGATTGCCGACTACGTCCCTCACTGTACAACTCATCCCCCTGGGATCCTTTCATGGTCACTCCTGCTTGTAAAAAGCAGCCCAGCAGAGGAAGAGAGACAGACAAACATGATGTCACGGGCCGCTCACTACAGCAACCTTGATTCTAAGGAGGGTTACGTGGGTGTGGGGGAACACAAAGATCCCACCTCGTGGAGGATAAATGAGCTTCATTCATGCTGCCAATTCTTTAGGGGCTGTCCCCTCTATCACCTCAGAAAACCGCTTTGTTTGCGGTGTGATCCAGGGCTCTGTCGTTCAGAGTTTTCATTCACGCTAACTTTCATCTCAATCATCTCAGCCTTCAGGTAATCTGCTTATTGTGTTTCCCTAGTTTTCACTGAACACACAGTGCAAACAAAGGCAAAGACTGAAGCAATCATTTCAAAAACAAGAGCTCACACTAAAAACACACATGAGCATCAAATATTAAAACGTGGGTTTTCTCCTGTCTTTATTCTGGGGAGGAGGAATCCTCCTCGTCATCTTCCTCGTCGTCGTCGTTGAACGAACAGGGGGTCTCGCCTCGCGACTCAGAGCAGTGAGAGGCCGCACTGCTGGACTGGTGACTGTTTGGGGCAAGGAACTGCCCAGTTGCTAAGGCCACTTCAGCATCCAAGCACAACCCTTGGTTTACACTAGCAAATAATTAAAAACACACAAGCTCATTAATGCGGCAAATATTTTAAGCTTTGCAAAGTGTAGGACTAAAAACATGGGGGAGGAGGTGCCACTGGGGCGCTCTGCCCAAATCTGCTCCAGAAAAGACCTGCACTGACACCCGTGGAGGGGCTCAGGGCCTCACCGCTTCTCTTTCTAACCCTGAAAATATACGTACCTTGATTGGGACAAGGTGGCACCAGCGGTCAGGTCTAAATTTGAAACTGACTGAGTAGAGTTCAAAAGTAGTCCCTGATTTAACCAGGAAGGTCCTGTGGAGATCTCTATAGGGAGAAACAGAAACAGACGATGTCGGCGTGCCACAAGCTGAAGGAAGCGTGCGAGCCTGATCTACGTACAGCCAGGGGAGGGGCGCCTGGGGGCTCAGTCGTTAAGCCTCTGCCTTGGGCTCAGGTCATGATCCCAGGGGCCTGGGATCGAGCCCCGCATCGGGCTCCCTGCTCCGTGGGAAGCCTACTTCTCCCTCTCCCTCTGCTGCTCCCCGTGCTTGTGCTCACTCTCTCGCAAATAAATAAATAAAAATCTTTTAAAAATTACAGCTAGGCAAGTCTCCTGCCCTGGGGAGAATCCACATTTTTTTCAGCTTGGAAAAATGAAATCTCTAGGACATAAGAACAGGAAAAAAATATGGGAAGGTAGACTACAGTGAGGAAGAATTCAAATTAAACCAACCACAGACTCATTCTTTTTTGACCTCAAGAGAGCAGCTGAGAGTACAGAGATCACTGCACTATTCCTGGACACCTGCTATCCTCACCACCAAAGACTCCGACTGGTGTTAAAAGCCGAAGCCAGGAGTGGGTAAAAAAGAAAGTCAAATCAGAAATAGGTAAGAAGGACAGGGGCGCCTGGGTGGCTCAGTCGGTTAAGTATCTGACCGACTCTTGATTTCGGCTCCGGTCGTGATCTCAAGGTTGTGAGATGGAGGCTCCAAGCTGGGCACAGAGCCTGCTTTGGATTCTCCCTCTCTCCCTCTCTCCTCCCTCTCCCCTTCCCCACCTTCTAAAAAAAGAAAAAAAGAAAGAAATAGGTAAGGAGGATAAGACACATTTTTGCTAAAACTCCCACTGTACCACCTTTTCACGTGCCGCCCAGTGAACTCAGTGCTATTACTCATCAAAGATACATTCTTTTTTCTGGTATCCTTTGCTCTGTAACTCAAACTAGCCCTTATTTTAAAAGGTCATATGCAGTCACATTTCTAATGAAGGTGAGACACGCCTTACTGTTTTAGGTCTGCATAAAATATTTTGGGTGTATACCCTTGCAATCTTATTTTCTGGGCATATACCGTATTTCTCCAATCACAACCCCGAGAAATTCTTATTGTAACTTTATTAGTTTCATACTGGTCTCATTATCTAGAATATTAGCTCAAGGAAGGCACTGACTGGAACATGTAAGATCTAAATGTTACTGAATGAATGAGTATAGTCTCTTTCACAGCAAGTTTACAAAAGTGGTGAAAAATGATAGAAATGTATTCCTATAAATTCTTTGACTTACATTACAAAATAAGACCGAATATATGCTCAGAAAGTGCAATTTAGTAATGCGCCTTTATTACAGTTAATCAGAATAGTTTTGTAATCACTGTGCAAAAAAAAAAAAAAAAGAACCCCCCAAAACCCTACAACTCTACGTACTAGAATTGATAACTCTGCTATCCTGGTAATGTCTGACCAAGTGAGAAGCTTCCTATGAAGGAAAAAAGGAAACTAAATGATTTCATTAATTTTGGAATGGCCTTGTGAACCTTTTTCTTTATAGGCTAGCTAAGGCAGCTGTGGAAAAAGAAGAAAAGTTCTAAGAAGAATAGCAGACTTTAACTACATTAAATAAGAACAAGCCTGTGCAAGATGAAATTAAAGCCAGAATCCTGTGGTGAATATTAGTTAGTATATATGGAAACTTTCTGTCAGAACACAGCTATTTACTTGTTTGTGAGCATAACACAGTAAATTTTCTTTTTCACAATGGCTTTGAGAAGCCTACATTTCTTTCGCATTATCATAAGATCCACACAATAGTTTTCACAATCTAACTCAAGAGCCATTCTGTCCCTTTGCACACTAAAGGCACACATTTCTTCTTTTAAAGTAACCAGAAAGTCTATGTCCCAGCCTGCAAATGAGGTCACAAAGAGATCAAAACCACAGAGCCTGCCTGATTGCCCTGAGCCTCTTCACTGAGAATAAGCTAAAATAAGGTTCTGGTGATTTATTGAGTAAGTCTTTTATTCAGACCCTGCTGGACTGCCACTATGACTGGGCTGCTAATAAAACAGCAGGGCCTGCTCTGGGAGAGAGTGGGGAGATAGGGGTGTTGGGGGTGAAGATATGGGGGCAAGTTGGCTAAGGGGCAAGAAGAAGGGGTCACACTTGCAGCTGGTGGATGGTGCCAGTTTAAGAACCAAATCCAACAGAAACCAAATCTCAATCAACAAACTCTTGTGTTTTGACCAGAGGGCCAAAACCATAAAGCAAAATAAAATAAGAACGAGGGGCCCCTGGCTGGCTCACTGGTAGAACACGAGACTCTTGATCTCTGGATTGTGAGTTTGAGCCCCACGTTGGGTGTAGAGATTACTTAAAAATAAAATCTTTTAAAAAAAATAAGCACTACCTCTTTGCTCATATTTGATTTACTATACCTTAGAACTAGTATTACAGTGCCTTCAGAAAATGATGTGAAATTCTAGGTGGTAATATTTATAAATGAAGGAAACTGGTAAAAGCAAAGGCAAAAAGCATTATTTATGCCTCCAAATTATATGTAGAGAATATACCATAGTCTTGGGAATTGGGACAATCATAAAGAAGATTTCTGAATCAGTAAAAAAAAAAATATGAATTACACAACATGCAAAACATACTGTTTTTGTTTTCAAGTATACTCCGTATACTCTTAAAACTCATAATAAAGGGTGCCTGGGTGGCTCAGATGGTTAAGCGTCTGCCTTCGGCTCAGGGTCCTGGGATCGAGTCCCACATCGGGCTTCCCACTCCTTGGGAGCCTGCTTCTCCCTCTGTTTCTCTCTGTCTCTCATGAATAAATAAATAAAATCTTTAAAAAAAAAAAACAAAACTCATAATAAAAAGACAACCTGATGCAAAAATGGGCAAAGGATCTGGAGAGACATGTCTGCAAGGAAGATCTTTAAGTGACCAGTAAAAGCACATAAAAAGATGCTTAGCACCATTAGTCATTAGGAAAATGCAAAATAAAACCACAGTAAAATACTACCTCATGTCTACAAGGATAAGTATAATAAAAAGGATGGACAATAACAAGTACTGAGAAGGATGTGGACAACCTGGAACCCTCATACACTGCTGGAAGGATTGTAAAATGGTACAAATGCTTTTGGAAAATAGTTTAGCAGTTACTCAAAATGTTAAATATAGAGTTGCCATATGACCCAGCAATTGCACTACTAGGTATGCAACCAAAAGAAGTGAAAACTTACGATCACACAAAAACATGTACAAGAATCATTCATAATAGCCCCAAAGTGGAAACAATCCAAATGTCTACCAACTAATGAATGGATAGATGAAATGTGCTATTATTCATATAATGGCAATAAAAAGGGATGAAGTATTGACACATGCCATAGCATGGATGAACCTTGAAAACATCATGCAAAGTGAAAGAAGTTCATCACAAAGGCTACACAGTGTACGATTCCATCTATAGGAAATGTCCAGAATGGACAAATTCATAGTGACAAAGCAGATTAGTGGTTGCCTAGGGCTAGGAGGAATGGGGTAATAGGGAGTGACTGCTAATGTGTATGGGGTTTCTTTTTGAACTGATAAAAATGCTTTAGCATGAGTGATGATTTCACAACCTTGCGAATATACTAAGTACCACTGAACTGTACGTACCATAAAATGGTGAATTTTATGGTATGTGAATGAAATCTTAATTGAAAAAATTAGGATACCATTTCACCTGATTGGGAAAACAGAACACTTCCATCCTGCAGGTTGAGAATGTAACTTGTGAAATCAAATTAAAAAAGCCCTGGCCTCATCTAGTGAAGCTGAAGTTGCCCACACCCGTGACCTAGCCATCTCACGCCACACACCAGCACGTGGGCACTATGGTGTCGTTACAGGAATGTTCAAAGTAACACCGTTTTTTAATATCAAGAAATTGGAAACAAAACTCAAAAGTTTATCATCAGTAAAATGAATAAATAAACTGTGATATATTCATATAATGGAGTTCTATACAGCAGTAAAAATGTATGAATTACAGCTACATTAAATCATGTGGATGGATGAAAAGATCATGTTGAGTGGAAAAAACTCATATCACTAAAGAATATGCCATTATGATTCCATTTACATAAAGGTCAGCAATAAGTAAAACTAAACAATAAGTTGTTTCCAGTTTACTATATTTGCGTTTGCATCTCTAAGGAAAAGTAAGAGATGATAAATAAGAAATTCAAGAGAATGGTTACGTTTAAAGGGCACAGAATGTGAAAGTGTTAGTTAACATACCTGTGATATAACCTTCTAATGCCTTTGGCACCAGCGATTTAGCAAGTTTCAGATCCTCCAGAGAGCATTTGCCTGACTCCAGGCCAAAGGACATTCCCATTCGCTTCAGTACTTCTATGTCATCATGGATCTCAAAGGTGTTGTCAAAATTAAAAAGATATTCAAACCTGCATCAGAAAACAAAGTTAGTATGGGGTTTCAGTGGGATAGGGGAGGGCTGCACAGTATTGTACTCTGTACATTAAAGAATGAGGGCCTACATTCAGCTATGGTACTAGAAACTGTTACCTTTTAGAGCCATAATGGTCATTCAGCTGTGTTCAGGGGAGTGACATCTCAAAAAAGCCACTTTCCCAATTAAAACAGTTTTCCTACAAGACAATAGGAGTCCATAAACTTCAGCCCTCATTAAGCTGTTACAAACAGGGGACAACTTTGGTGTAAAACCAATACTTTCCAAGGTTGTCTATAGCTTTGTCACCAAAAGACAAATTATTAAGAAAGCCTTTTCAGTTTAATATATGACATCCCTACTATGAGTTGGCCTATTAAGGTTTGAGGGGGAAAAAAAACATTCTGGATGCTTATTTCATATTCCTGAATCAATTACTAACTATAGCATACTTTAGATAAGCAATAAATGGGAGACTTTTTACAAATGAACCAAAACTCAAATCCTATCTTAAGAGCCTAAGAAGTGAAATGACTTAAGGAAAAAGTGCCACATAAATATACAGCACATTTCCAAATGTTCTTGAAAAGTACTGAATCAGGATGCCCAGCTGCCCAGTACAATGTTTCCCAAAAAAGGTGAATATAGGAAAGCACAGTCCTTTTGACTCCTAGGCTAGGCCCTGGGGCGCCTTCACCCACAGGCCTCACCCTACAGGGACGGAGTGCAGGGGAATGTTCTGGCACAGTAGTGGGTTTATGTTGTCATGAAATTCTTATTAAAATCATGAGAAGGTAAAATTAGTCATGCTAGATCTTAGATCAGGGAAAAAATTACAATTTAAAGTGAAATAACGTCAGGTCATGATCCCAGGGTCCTGGGATGGAGCCCCGCATCAGCCTGCTTCTCCCTCTCCCACTCCCCCTACTTGTGTTCCCTCTCTCGCTGTGCCTCTCCCTGTCAAATAAATAAATAAAATCTTAAAAATAAACAAACAAACAAACAAACAAAGTGAAATGCCATGTTTAGGAATAAAGGACATTAACACATTTTCAGGAAAAAAAAAACCCACAAAAAATCTGAAGTGTATGCCTGTCACAGGGATAATTCCTGGCATATGTTAAAAGCAGATGGTTCTGTAAATTTAATCTCCATTGTGAAAAAGCCTCCAGGCTAATTAAGGGGAAAAGACTGCATCACCAAAGTAACTGAAAGACAAGGCTTTAGGACCTACCTTGAACAACAAGCTTCTACAAGCTGCTTACAGCCTCCTTCCCTTTATTCAGAGGAGGGCTGGGAAAGGGCATGAGTCAGTAACCACCGAGGGATGAAAACCTCACCAGGCCCCAGGCTGGGATGAACAGAATCCATAATTCCCATAGGCCAATGGTTCCCAGATTCTCTTGCTACTCTTTTTCAGACTTAGAAGACTAAGTGATGAAGAGAATTTAATAATCCCTCACAAAACAAGAGGTTAACTGGAGAGAGAAACTAGAATTCTAAGTTTGTTTCTCCTGAAAATATGTTAAACGTTCTCTAGGATTCTCAGTTTTATGAGGCTATGTTAACAGTCCCTGTAGATGTAGGTTGTGAAGATTTTGCAATTGTGTGACTAATAATACAGACACATACCATTTGCTAACCACTGGGCTGGGTCCTTTACGAACTGATCTATAACTTTTGAAAACCAGCAAGTTAAATACTGTAATTCTTACTTTTGTGGAGGAAGCATCCAGATCTCACAAAGGTTAAGAAACTATGTAGCTAGAAGACAGACTGAAAAATGGATCTTCTGACTTCATACTATTCTTTTTTTTTTTTTTTTAAAGATTTTATTTATTTATTTGAGAGAGAGAGAATGAGAGAGAACACATGAGAGGGGATAGGGTCAGAGGGCAAAGCAGACTCCCTGCGGAGCAGGGAGCCCGATGCGGCACTCGATCCAGGGACTCCAGGATCATGACCTGACCCAAAGGCAGTCGCTTAACCAACTGAACCAACCAGGCGCCCTGACTTCATACTATTCTTAATTGTGTCTATAGTCTCAATTATCAAATACTTTTGAAATTCCTGCTCGCGGTTTTTCTTTTTCTTTTGGCACCTTACTTAAGTGACCTATAATCTCTGTATGCAATCAAGATAAACAGGGGAAGCAACACAGCCTGTGAAAACGGTGGGAGAGACAAGGGAAGGCCAAGCCCAAGCGCAATGCTGTAGCTCTAAGGAGACGAGAAGTCCCAGTCTCTCTGGATAGTCTTGGACTATGCCTGTAGGACTGATATCATTACTGAGCCCTCTCTCGCTTTCAAATGAATCCCAATTTGGTGAACAGATTATATGCTGACTCCTTGTAACAGCAGCTAATATTTATAAAGTGCTTGCCTTGGGTGAGATCCTTTAAAGACATGATGGTATTTAAGGCCTTGGAATCATCTTTTGTTCTTCAGAAAACTGCTTCGAAGCAGCTAAATGGGGGAGCCACAATCCACACTTGGGTCTGTCTCACTCCACACCCTATTCCCTTAACTATCTCAGGACACTGGTCACAGCCTGAAGACCACTACTATTTTCATGAAGGGTAAAATAAATTACAAATTAATTCTTAGCAGTATTTTTAAAACTGCTACTTTTCATTTGCTATGATAAATACCATCATCAGCTTTAGTTAAAATGTAAAAAAAATGTTGGTGGGAATGTAAATTGTTATAGCCACCATGGAAAACAGTATGGAAGTTCCTCAAAAATTTAAAAATAAAACTACCATAAGACCCAGCAATCTCGCATGTGGGTATATATCTGAAGGAAACAGAATCACTATTTCACAAAGATATCTGCACCCCATGTTCACTGTAGCATTATTTACAACAGATACAAAAACAACCTGACTGTCCACTGACATATGAACAGATAAAGAAAATGTGGTATGTGTGTGTGTGTGTGTGTGTGTGTGTATAAATGGAATATCTGGCCATAAAAAAAGGAAATTCTGACATTTGCAACAACGTGGGTGGACCTTGAGGGCATTACACTTATTGAAATAAATCAGACAGAGAAAGACAAATACTGTATGATTTCACTTATATGTGGAATCTAAAAAAAAAATGAACTCATAGATGCAGAGAACAGACTGCTGGTTGCCAGGGGTGGAGGTGGGAGGTGGATAAAATGGGTGAAGGTGATCAAAAGGTATAAACTTCTAGGTATAACATAAATAAGAAAATAAGAAAGCAGAGAATGCATCTAGCATTTTCACGTCCATTCATTAATAAATAGAAGCACATCTTACTTATAGCAAAACAAAGAAACAATTGCCTTAATGCCACATGTTGACCCAAAAATTTCCACACTGAACTATGGAAGGGGATCACCAGCAAACCCATCTTGTCCCAGGCCCTCACTGATGGTCTACGTTAAGGCAGTTACTTGCCCAGGGTTACCACATACGTGTACACACACACACACACACACACACACACACGCACACCCTGGCTGGGGTCCAGGCTCCACTGTGCATGCAGGACAGGCAGTATAGTGCCAGGCACAAGACAAGGGGCTGAGAGGGCGAGTGATGAAGAATGCACTAGTAGATGGCAGCACTCCAGGTCTGCAAAGGTGTCTTCCAGACCCCAGGGAGGTCAGACGGAAGGGCTCAGATAATGAAGGACACCCTTCTTTATGCTGCAAATGATAGGAATGTGTTCCTGGGAGGCCGGCCCTACAGTCCTCCCCTAGTTCTCCACTCACTTGTCACTGGAAATGCTGCAATCTATGACTGTTTTCCTGCTTGTATTGATGATTATAAATGGCAGCTGAATGGTGGAGTTCAGAGCTGGAGGGCCCTGGTTCTGCTGTTCATTTTGCCGATTTCTCTGAACCAGGTTTTTGAAAGCGATTTGCTGTAATGATCCAAGAAAAAGAATATGGTCATTTAATATGGGTAAGTGAGTTGGAATTAAATGAATTAAAATAAATACATTTAAGAAATAGTATTAGAGTATTAGAAATTAGAGATATTAAAGAGGCCGTCTACCTATAATTAAAATGAAACATTTAGGAAAAAAGATTAGAATGATCTAACTCAGATACATTTCAAGGGAAAACATGTTGTCTAACATCATCCTAATGTAAATAATGGGGCCCATGGCTTCCGTCATCCATAGACACAGGATCTTACAAATCTGCGAGAGCCCAGGAGCGCCTGCAACTCTTCTTAGAGTGACACGGAGAAAGTGATACCAAGTGAACTTATATTTTCCATTTATCTAACAGACTCTCGGGAGTCTGGGGTTAAATACACCTTTTAGATTGTCGAGCTCAGGGATATGCAAACTTTATAAAGCTACAGAATCCTTTCTTCAAATGAAATCTATAGGACACTATATAAAACAGATGAAAGTAGCATCGCTCTGGCTGACTGCAGGGGGGCAGGAAGTCCAGAGCCCAGTGGCTCTGCCCTCCCTCACCCCTGAGGTTCCTAGGGTACCTCCACAGAATTCCCACATCCTCAGGGCACAGCTGGAATCTGGCCCAACTCACCCCCCACCAAACATCTTCCAGACAAGAAACTGAGGCTTAGCACTTATAAGCTAGATGAAGGTCTACTGGATCTTGCTGCTACTTTTAGTTATAACCATTATTTGCAAGTCAAAGAAGTGACTGCCCACCCCCCCCTTTTAATAAGGTAAATGTATCAAAGAATTCCACAGCTAGAAAGACTATGCAATTCAACTTTTTCATCTGCTCATGAAACAAGAGTGGTTTTAAAGGCTCCTAAAGTCAGATCCACTCATTCCCTTTCATCGGCGTGTCCCATCTTCTCACCCAGTAGTGATGAATTTCAGTTACTTTCTATGTTTTAGCAATCTTATCCTAGGATTATTTATTTTAGGTTCTGAGCCTTAACAAAAGTTTAACTGAGATTATCTTTATCTTAAAATGACTGGGTACCATCCCTAGAAAGTGAACATTTACTCCTAAAATGCACAGAACAGAAGGGATACCAATTTATGCTAGCCCTAACTGTGTGTCCAAAAATCACTATCAATATCCACCACTATCAAAAAACTATCACTATCAATACTATCAAACATTACTTAAGTTATACTTCATTATTTGCTGCTGGTAAAGGATGTTGGCTGTTTTATATTCGTTGCTTAATTTACTTAATGTTGAAAAAAATACGCTATTGATACTGTAAAACTGAGGAAAAGAATTAAACGTTTGAAGACTTCTGCCTAGATTCTCTTCCCTTCTACTAGAAAAAGCATCTCAGGAGATGCTCTCATACTTTGCCCTAGCTTTGCAGTCCTAGTGCCATGGCTGGGCCTCAGCAGAGGAGGGAATATCAACAGTAATAAATAAGAGTCCTTATATATGTATGACTCACTATTCAATATTGTGTACATTTAATAGCATCACAGATTTTTCAGGTGAAGAAAGCAGTAATAACATATATAATGTTATTTAGACAGTAAAAAGAAAAATCACCACCTATTTGTTTTGGACGGATTTCCTCTGTTGCCCTTTGATTGAGTTCCTTCAGCCTTTTGTTCTTTTCCAGGCTCATTAACATCAATATCAGAGGCTGAACAGAGGGCAGGTTCACACATTCATTTTGCTATGCGTTAGCAGCCCTGGAAAAGGTTTAAGGGCTAGTAGGGACAGTTATATAGCTAAAAGTAGGGTATGTGGATTATCTATAGATATCATCTACTCACACCCTTCTTCATCTACACTACCAAGGATAAATGAGAAGTGGTGGCAGGTAAGTAAAACTGTCCTGTGTCATGTGATGTCAGTGAGTGGTGACCTTAACTTGTTAAAAATTAAGCTAGCTTTGCCATGGTAAATTATTGGTGTTCAGGGACATGTTTAATTTACTTTCTGTGACAACTTCATAAATGTTATTTGACGGATGAGAGATAAAACACTAGCAGGAAATAAGCTGTATGTATGTCTACCAGAAGACCAGAGAGCAGCAGTTTTCAGTTATACTTCGGGTTTCATTTTAATATTGAGAGAGACCTACTTTTATAAATGTTGACAGCTAGGTTGCCCTTGGGTTGAAATCTTCTGTAAATGTTTGGTTTGAGAGACAGAAGAGGAAAAGAAATTTAGGACTTAAAAAAATAGTGTTCATTGTACAAAGATAAGCAGAGGAAAAAATATTCAACTTCATTCTTTATGAAGGCTGTCTAGGGATGTGAGCGTCCCACCTCCATGAGAGTGATCACGCCCAGCACCATTCTTTCTGATAAACAGGTCTTCTCAATAACATTATGCCAAAAATCAAGCTCCAAAATGTTCCACGAGGATTTTGAGGAAATCTGAGGAAGGCCTGGCTCAGACGCGAGGGAATGTGAGCTGGTAGGAAACCGTGTGGGGACAGGGACAGCAGAAGCAGCTGGGGGAAGGCAGTGACATGCCTGGTAGGCCAAATCACAGAAGGCAGAATTCCACAGGGAGGAGCACAGGAACACATGGTCAGCCTTCAGGATTTTTGTTCTGTTTTGTTTTGTAAGCAGCAGAACCCTCTCTTCAAACAAAACCTTATTTGGAAACCCAGTACGAAAAATACATAAAATGCTTGCTCCAGCTCTAGCTCCTCAGGTAGGTCCCCCCCCCAGGGTTCGGAGTGAAAAGCAGACGCAGAACATAGGAAGGGAGAAAGCAACGGCCTATCCGGGTGGAACACACCTTTGGAGCCTGCCTATGTTTGGGCAGCGTCTGCTCTAGCTACTTCTACTCCTCCACCCTTGCTCCGCCTCCTTCCCTACTTCCTCGTATCATACGCAGGTCTCTGCAAGGGCTAAACGGCCTTCTCTTGCTGCTCTGATGTATACATGAACTTGGAATAAACAAGCAAATACAAGCATCTAGAGAGTGAAAAAACAAAAATGGGGGATATTTAAGAATACCTGACATATTCTGTCCATTAGACAAAGGGAGCGTTTCGGAGAAACCCTGCTCCAAGATTTGGCAACTTAATTGTTACCTGTATTTCTGAAAAGTGGATTACATCAAAAATTAAATAGGATCTAACGGTTGTCAAATCAAAGTGGATTTTATAAGTGGTTGAAAGCTTTTCATATAAAGACAATTTGCTGATTTAAAAAAAAAAAAGCATAAAGACTCTCTGGGTTCATTTTAAAAAGGGTTTCTGATTACACTGAAAATGACCCCAGTGTACTGCTCAAAGTGAATTTTTACAGCAACTGCAATTACCAAAAATAAAATAAAATAAAAAAGTCTATGTGATTTTACCTCACATGATTTTATACACTGGCTCTATTATATTTAAGAAAACCATCCAAATTCCAGGCAATGATCCAAAACAGTATAAATACAGGGATCCTTATTACACTATAAAAGCTAATTTTCTTAAAAAGAAAAGCATTTTAATTTTTGGTATTTCTACAAAGCTTATTGAATCATTATATGTTATTCTGTTATTTACAGATAATAAATTATTACAGGTAGATTTGATTATTTTACTCAAAGTGCCTGAAGTTTAACGAGTCTTACTTCCTGATATTCCAAACTAGGGCTAAAATAAACACACACAAAAGGACTTCTGACAGTTTCCGTTCAGAATAAGAATAAGTGTCAGAAGTAAGTCGCTGCATAATATAAGTAATGCACAGGACAGGTGACCTGCCATGAGGCCATGATGGTGGTGAGAGACAGAACCATCTTAAAGGCAGACCATGTGGATGGTGATGAGCTCAGATGTGGAGGAGGCCGCCCTACTGTGTGGTCCCATCAGACACTACTCAAAAGATAGCCAAAGTAGAAAACACTGATTCTAAAAGCAAGTAAGCAGGGCAGCAGAATATAGGTAAGGAAAAGAATGAAAACCATCCCAGCAACTTTACCTGCAGGAGAAGTTCTTGGAGCTGGGCCCGCTTCTGCTTTATCCGTTCTATCCTCCTCTGCTTCTCTATCTTTAAAAGATAGGTTACAAAATAACATGAACATATGGAAAGTATAAAGTACTGCTCACTTTCCAGGTCCCAATTCTGAGATATCAAGAATTTTCCTTAGGGGCACCTGGGTGGCTCAGCTGGTTAAGGTCCAACTCTTGGTTTTGGCTCAGGTCATGATCTCAGGGTCCTGGGATGGAGACCTACATTGGGCTCTGAGCTCAGTGCAGAGTCTGCTTGGAATTCTCTCTCTCTCCAGCTCCTGCTGTCCCTCCCCCTGCTTGTGCTCTGTGTTCTCTCTCCAAAATAAATAAATAAATCTTAAAATAAAAAAAAAGAATTTTCCTTAAAACTCAATCCATTTTAGGGGCACCTGGGTGGCTCAGATGGTTAAGTGTCTGCCTTCAGCTCAGTTAATGATCCCAGGGTCCTGGGATCAAGCCCCATGTTGGGCTCCCAGCTCAGCGGGGAGCCTGCTTCTCCCGCTGCCTCTGCCTTTCCCCCTGCTTGTGTGCTCTTTCTCTCAAATAAATGGATAAAATCTAAAAAAAAAAAAAAAAAAAAAAAAAAAAAATCCATTTTAACTACCAATATCAATAAATGCATATCACACCTTTTTGGGGAGCAGGGGTTGGGGTAAGCAAGTAGGCACGATAGCAGAATTGTGGCAACTACTATCATTAATGAAACCCATCCACTTAATAAATATTTGATATGCAGTACTTGTTGCTATTTTCAAATTCTATTTAGAGTAATAGCTAACACTTCGTGAATACTTACTCTGTCTGGCAGCAACTCAACTAAGCACTTTACACACATTATCTTTTTTTTTTTTCCTACACACATTATCTTAAGGCATCATGAGGTTAGTACTGTTGTTACCCATTTTGCATGTAAGGAAATGGAGGCATAGAGGGTTAAGTAATTGCCCAAGGTCACATAGCTAGTGAATGGCAACAGTAAGGATTTGAACCTAAGCCATCTGGTTCCAGAGACCCTACTATTAAATACTTTCTTATGTTACCCCCTAACCCAAAGAATGAGGTAAGATCTCATTTAAGATTTTAGTTTAACTGACTTTTAAATGGGCATAGCTCCTAATACAGTTAGCCTACATATTCAATACACAATTCCTACTTGTAGTAAGGAACATGCTTATGGGACAAATTTCCCAGCTTCATGCAACTATTATTTTCCTCACTCTTACAACTACCTAGAAAATAGGTATTAGGGCCTGAATTTCCTTGTAGATGAGTTCCTCACTGTGTCTTTGGGCAAAAGTCAACGACTTCAAACATGACATTTTTCTTGTCTACTCCAAAAGCATTTCTTATTTGCTCCTCATCTATTCTAGTCTGCACCAAGAGTTTCCTCTTATTCTTTCTCTAACCACTAAAGCATTTTCATCCTAAATTACTTAAGTCTACGGCCATACCACCCTGAACGCGCCCGATCTCGTCTAAATTACTTAAGATTCACTAGAAAAATCTATGTGGCTTTCTACATTTGAAAAGAGTTTCCCCCCCTGTATCTGCAGCTGTGACAGGCCAGGCCCCTACCTGCCCCTCGTGCCCCCCATCTAACACCAGGCCAAGTTGTGTCGATTCTACCTCTGAAACACTTTTCCAACCTCACGCCACTGATTTAACTCAGACCATCTACAATCCACCCCCTCCAATTCCCCTCCTCATCTTCCTATTAGCTCAACTTCCAACCCACCAGGAGGGTGACCCCTTATAGAATATGTCCTATCAGTTGTCCTCTTTGTAATTTTTCAAAAGCTTCCCACTGTTTCCAGGATCAGGTCCCCAAAGCTTCACACTTAGAAGTCTATCCCCTTTAGCCCTGCCTGCACTCTGGTCACACCCAGCTGTGTGCATGCTTTCTTATGCCTGCCTCAGTCCATGCACGGCTTCTGGAAGGCCCTCTCTGCCCTGAACCACTGGGCAGACGCCTATACCTCCCTTATCACTGAGCTCAAGGAATTTTTTCTTTTCTTGGTAAAGTATCCCTCATCTCCCTTTCCAGAGAATCTGTATATATGTCTTTCACAGGAATAATCGGTCACAGTTTTGGTAACTTCTTTTACATTTTTCCTTTACTCAATTAGAATGAAAGCTCCTGGGGTCAGAGATTTTGTCTTGTATAATCTTTGGGTACGTACACACACAGTAACTTCTAATAGATTTCTGCTTATTGAGGCTCTGTTATCAGCTTAATATTACTGGTAATAAAAATGATCCTTGGGACTCCTGAGTGGCTCAGTCAATTAAGTGTCTTGTCTTCAGCTTAGGTCATGATCTCAGGGTCCTGGGATCGAGTCCCAAATTGGGCTCCTTGCTCAGGGGGGAGCCTGCTTCTCCCTCTGCCTGCCGCTTTCTCTGACAAATAAATAAAATCTTTAAAAAAAATTAGAGAAAAAACTTAAAAAAAAAAAAGATCCTCAAATTCCACTCTATCAGAAGGAGAAAAGGAGGTCATTTCCACCATAACATATGAATAACATTCTACAACTTTTGATGAATGTCTAATTTCTCCCTCCACCCACAAGGACAATAATACCAAATAAGTTTTCATTTGCTGAGGGGAAAAAGGACTAATAAAAACATGAAACCAACCATATTTATTGCAGAAAGTATATTACTATATTTAACCTCAATTTATTCCATTTATGGCCATGACAGTACAATTAGGTCAAATCAATTTAAAACCAATAGGTCAGGGCACATGCTTATATAGGAAAGATTTTCTTTTTCTTTTTTTTTTAAAGACTTTATTTATTTGACAGAGAGAGACACAGCAAGAGAGGGAACACAAGCAGGGGGAGTGGGAGAGGGAGAAGCAGGCTTCCTGCTGGGCAGGGAGCCTGATGCGGGGCTTGATCCCAGCACTTTGGGATCATGACCTGAACCGAAGGCTTAATGACTGAGCCACCCAAGCACCCCAGGAAAGATTTTCTATAATGATTAAAAGTTAATGGAATAAAAAATGTTTTTACACACATCACCCCAAAATTCATGTAAGCTGAACATTCTATCCTTTCTGATAAAGATACAGATAAAATTCCATTCTGTTGCCACTGATGTGAGAATCAAAGATAAAAGTTTAAACACAAAAGGTAAACAGCCAGTTTGATCCTTTTTTTTTTTTTGGATCCATACAGCAAAGCATTTCATCAAATAAGATATTATTTCTATTTATGAGTTGTCAAAAATTTATTAGTAGAGTGCTCAGAATTAAACTAGAATAAAATAAAGATCTTCTCTAAGAAACAGTAAAAATCAAGTCATTTAATTTCTATGTCCTCAGTTTCATCAGGACATCAGTCAAACTATACACCTCTCTAAATCTCCTTCCAGTTCTAAAATTCTACACAGAAGAGTCTGTTAAAAAAATAGTATATATGAACAATTAGAAATATTTTCATATTGTATGTATTTCCAAATTAAAATGCCTCTTATGGGGGTGCCTGGGTGGCTCAGTTGGTTAAGCGTCTGCCTTTGGCTCAGGTCATGATCCCAGGGTCCTGGGATCAAGCCCCGTGTCAGGCTCTCTGCTCAGCGGGAAGCCTGCTTCTCCCTCTCTCTCTGCCACTCCTCCTGCTTGTGCTCTCTCTCTAATAAATAAATAAGATCTTTAAAAGTAAAATAAAATAAAATGCCTCTTATATAAAATAAAGCAAACTACTATCTAAAAACAGATTTTCCTCACTTACCTCAAGATTTTGACATTCCTGAGCAGAATTGGTAGGCAGGCCAATCCACTTGATTTCTTTTTTTTCCTTTGAAATTATGTTCATTGCCATTAGCACATTTAAAGCATCATAAACTCTTCTCCTAATATTCTTCTGGTCATAAGCCTGCTAAAAAATACTTTTAATGAGTGATAAATTTCAAGGGTTAAGATATAGTCACAGGATATTAAGATATTTAATTAATATTATTATTATATCATCTTTGGAGTGCTAATAGAATTCTATATACCCAGTGAAAATATCCTTCAAAAGTAGAGATAAAGATACTTTCAAACAATCTAAAAAATAAAAGATTATTTTAGCAACAGATCTAAATTAAAAAATACTAAAGGGCCTTCTTCAGGTAGAAGAAAGATGGATGGGATCCAAGGTGGAAGTTTGGAGATGTAGAATGTAGTGAAAACCACCATGAAAATAAATATGTGGGTATATCTCAATTAACACTCACTTTGTAAAACAATAATGTCTTGTGGAATCAAGAATATATATAAAACTAACATATATGACAACAGTATATATATGTCAGAAAGGGGTTATGGAGTTGTTAATTAAAGTGGGTTAAAACCCTGCATTGTCTGGGAGGATATTAGACTTTGAAAAGTCAAGGATGCATGTTTTTTTTTTTTTAAATTTATTGTTATGTTAATCACCATACATTACATCATTAGTTTTTGATGGTAGTGTTCCACGATTCATTGTTTGTGCATAACACCCAGTGCTCCATGCAGAACGTGCCCTCTTTAAGGATGCATGTTTTAAAACAGTGCTTTTCAAGTATGTGATCCAAGCACTAGTGCAGATCCGAAAACTGTTACTAGTCTACAATGAAAATAGGGAACTTGCACCAAAATGTCATCACATAGATCACTAAAGCACACTGTTTACTTCAGCTGATTTTTTAAAAAAAAGTCTTTGTAGCAAGATTTTTCTCAATGAAGGAGACTGTGTTAACTTAGATTGTGGAAAAAAACCCTATTTTGTTGTGGAGAAGCAGTTCCTAAGAAAAAAATCCATTCAATCAAATGCCATGATACTAAAGGATGGTGGAGAACATTGAATACAGAACTAAACTTAAATAAGTGGGAGATTTAAGTTATAGAAATGAATGTAAATATTAGAAATCCTGACGCTATAGAAATAATGATAATATTATAAAAAATATCAGGAGACAAAGTAGGCCTGATGTTGTCCTTGATATTTAAAGGGGCATGGGATTCAAATCAGATGAACTATTCAAACAGATGAAGTATGTAATGTTTTAGCACAATATGTTTAAAGTCATAATAACTATAATAATATTATTCTTTTAACAACTACCACTAATATACTCAATCTGAATCTGTGGTGAACAGGAAAGATGGGAGATGCAAATAAATCCAAGCATATTAATTTTTTTCCCTTCATAATCAACAGATACTGGTTTATAGGTGATAACAAACAAAAGAAACAAAATATTGAAGCTACTTAAAGTTATAAAGATAACCAATTAAAGAACTAAAGACTATAAACCTTCCAATTTATAAAAATAAAAAACAAAAAACACCACATATAGCAAGGAATAGGAACCCAGGGAATAGGATACAACCCTTACTTGTATCCAGGCATGGGGATGGGGGTGGTTAGTAAAAATGTATGTTAGATGATGAAATGTGCTAAGAAGAAATGCCTCAGTGCAGTGACATCTGAGTGAAAACTGGAAGGGAGAGGAGAGCGAAACCATATGGCTCCTTAGCAAAGATTCAGACAAAGTAAATAGCAAGTGTAACAGCCTGATAAGGAACATACCCGGCATATTCACCCCAAAACAAAAAACGAACAAAAAGCCCACCAGTCTCATTCATGACTGCCAGTGTACAACTCCTAAATTTTCAGGAAAACTATACAGAATTTGATTGAATTCAATATCCATTTCTGATTTTTTTTAATTAAGAAAAATGAAAGATATGTTCATTTAAAAAGATCAAGTTATGGTTGCTATCATTTCAAAATAAAACCTTTATCATAAGGTGACTAGAGTGCAGTAACTGGGAGAGTGCATAGTAGGAGATGAGATCAGAGAGGTAATGGCGGGTCAGGTCATGTAGGGTCTTGTAGAACATTTTGAGAATGTCCACTTTCACTCAGAATCAGAATGCTATATACCTTCTCTACAGATGCCAGAGAAAAGAAAAAAATACATTACCAAATAATGGCTCACAAGAAAAATCTCTAAGTAACCCCCCCAAATATAAATAGTTCAACTCACAATCTCTGATCACAGGTAATGAAAAACTCAGTAAAAATTAAAAACTCAGAAAAAAAAACAAAAATCCCTATCACCTGGAACTATAAAAACTCTAATGCCATTCTTAGGTCAGAGAGGAATTTAAAACAAAAGCTGCATAATATTTAAAGAATAACATTATATCAGAATCAATGGGAAATGGCTAAAGCAGTGAACAAGAGGAAAAGTCACAGCTATAAAGATTTTCATTACTAAACAAAAATAACAAAAGTAAAGTTTATATCCTATCTATAGGGTAGAAAAATAACAAAAGTAACTTCAGGAAAGAGAAGAGAATATTAAATGAAGATTAAAAAAGACATTAACTGCAAAACAGGAGGGTCGGTTCAGATTCAAGAGATGGTTCTTTGGGAAAAATAATTGCAAGTAATTTTGAGAACAGGTATGAAATGGAGGATTTTCTAAGAAAACATAAAATACCAAACTGACTCTAAGGGAGACAGAAATTCTAAATAGATTAATTACCAAAGAAAAAATGGAGAATGCTATCTAAGCTTTACCCCCCCCCCCCCCAAATCGCCAGCCAAGATGGTATCACAGGTGATTTCTATGTCAGGGAAGAGAAATACGCATCCAATGCTATTAAACCTGTAATGGAGTAAAGAGGAAGAAGGAAAAAAAAGCCTCTAAATTTTAAAAAACCAGCATAACACTGCAAATCAAAACTGCAAAGATGGTAAAAACAAAAAAAAAAATCCCACCAATCTCACTTAGGAATGTCAGTGTAAAACTCCTAAGTTTTCAGGAAACTATACAGAATTTGATTAAATATCCATTTCTGGTTTTTTTTTTTAGTTAAGAAAAAAGAAAGAAACATTCATTAAAAAAAAAAATCAAGTTGGGGCGCCTGGGTGGCTCAGTCATTAAGCATCTGCCTTCGGCTCAGGTCATGATCCCAGGGTGCTGGGATCGAGCCCCACATTGGGCTCCCTGCTTGGCGGGAAGCCTGCTTCTCCCTCTCCCACTCCCCCTGCTTGTGTTACCTCTCTTGCTGTCTCTTTCTGTCATTTAAATAAATAAATAAAATCTTAAAAAAAAAAATAGTCCCTGGAATATTGTAGAGAATCAGAATTCTCCAGACATCTATCAGTGTTTATTGTCTTCTGTTTTTATTTTTTTAACTGCAGAATTAACTTATTAAAATTATTTCCTAGGCATTTGTATATAATAACATCTCCCTAGCTCCAAACTGGCAAAATGCCATACACAAACAGAGATAACTAACATTCTTAAATATTTAGTAAATGAATAAATGTTGACGAGGCTTTAATAACAAAGACTGAACTAAGCTTGAAATGCAAGTGAATCCTTCTCATTTTTCTTTATGGAGCAAATTAGCAACTAACTTAATGACTGGAATTAGACCCTGCCTGCAGAAACAGGTTTCATTTGATCAGGGATACAAAAATTAATTAGTATTTTGACCTACATCAGGCAGTAGAAAAAGAACTATTTCTTTCAAGATCTGTCATTTAGGGGCGCCTAGGTGGCTCAGTCGTTAAGCGTCTGCCTTTGGCTCAGGTCATGATCCCATGGTGCTGGGACTGAGCCCCGCATCGGGCTCCCTGCTCAGCGGGAAGCCTGCTTCTCCCTCTCTCACTCCCCCTGCTTGTGTTCCCTCTCTCACTGTCTCTCTCTCTGTCAAATAAATAAATAAAATCTTTAAAAAAAAAAAAAATCAAGTTATGGTTGCTATCATCTCAAGATAAAACCTTTGTCATAACTAAGGTTAAAGACTATAAATATTTCAAGACTATAAATAAGTCAGGAACTGTTGTAAGAATTGTTGTGGAGTATGTATAATATGATTACATTTAAATAAAATGCAAACCGATTTATAATGATAAAAAGCAGATCAGCAGTTGCCTAGGGATAGAGGGAGAAGGAGGGACAGATTATAAAAGGCAGAAAGAACCTTTTGAAAGTGACAGAATTGTTCTTTATCTCTCTCTAAAATAAATAAAATCTTTAAAAAATAAAATAAAAAAGGAAATAAATTTTATTGTGTGCATGAGGAATTTTTGGGATGATACTCAAGAATCTCATAGTAGTAAATATACCTTTGGGGAGACAGATTGAGGTCTGTGGTAAAAGGGAGATATTCTGGGGCACCTGGGTGGCTCAGGTCATGATCCTGCTCAGCGGGGAGCCTGCCTCTCCCTCTCACTCTGTAGTTCCTCCTGCTTATGCTGGCTCACTCTCTCTCTCAAATAATAAATAAATAAATAAATAAATAAATAAATAAATTCTTTAAAAGGGAGATATTTTTATCATATACTCTTTGGTACAACTGAATTTTTATAGACATGTTCATATATTATTTTTTCAACTAAAAACAACATAGATTTTTGTAGAAGAAACGCTAAAGAATTCAGAAACATATCCAAAGTCATTCAAATATGAAAAGTATGTTCCTGGGCACCCGGGTGGCTCAGTCGGTTAAGTGTCTGTCTTCGGCTCAGGTCATAATCTCAGGATCCTGGGATCGAGCCCAGAGTAGGCTCTCTGCTCAGCAGGGAGCCTGCTTCTCCCTCTCCCTCTGCCCTCCCCCCTCCACAGCTTGTGCGCTCTCTCTCTCTCAAATAAATAAAATCTTAAAAAAAAATAGTATGTTCTTTTTGTAGCCCCCCAAATTATATTTTAAAAATACATGTTAATCTTTATGTTTAAATATTTAATAAAAGAACCCTTTCTAAAACAAAACAAACAAAAACTCAATAACAAAAGAATTCCCCAATAGAAAATATGAAACCCTCAGGTAAAGGAGTTGGGGATTCCTTAGCTTGTCTGAGTCCTTAAAAAATGACACAGTCAACCCAGAGATACAGTGTTCCGCCATTACAGTCAAAGTCAAGTGCATGATCTATCTACCTACCGAATCAGCGGCCAAATGGTTATTTGAATTGGTGAACTCTGATACCAGCTCATCAGCCACTTCATTATATGATGTTGTACCTTTCCGCTGAACTTTCTCACACACTTTCATGGAAAAATGTCTCAAGCCTTTTCCATTTTTATCTCCTTTTTTGCTTCGTTTACTAAAAGAGAAAAAAAAATACATATTTATACATCAGACTTCCTTTACAAAACTATAATGTGAGAATATAGTAATTTGATTTTTGCTTTATGTGGTAATTTTAAATTGAATTAGAGATGAAGAAATGTTTTGAACTTAATTTTTGCCTTAAAACCTAATAAAGTATGAAGTTAGAGTGTTTTCTATACACATCATTCGTTTATTCAACAAATATGTGCTGGGTTCTGTTCTACACACTGGGAATAAATCCATGAGAACAGATAAAAATGCTGCCCTAGTAGTTACATATTTACCTTTTTGTATTCTATGTGTGCTATATAGTTCTTCTTTTTTTTTTAAAGATTTTATTTATTTATTTGAGAGAGAGAGAATGAGAAAGAGAGAACACACGAGAGGGGATAGGGTCAGAGGGCGAAGCAGACTCCCTGCCGAGCAGGGAGCCCGACACGGGACTCGATCCAGGGACTCCAGGATCATGACCTGAGCCGAAGGCAGTCGCTTAACCAACTGAGCCACCCAGGCGCCCCCTGTGCTATATAGTTCTTTTTTATGTAAAATTAAAAGTACCACTATTCTCAGTTTCATTTACCTACTCAAATTTCAAACAGAGGTCATTGGTATTAATAAAAGATCTAAGTCTTCAATTATTTTAACTTTGGTTCATGTCTAGTCCTAAACTTTGATAACTTATTAAATTTTCAGGGGTTCAATTTAGTTCTACTAATTTCTGAGTGTCAACTATATGCCAAGAACTGCAGTAGGGACCAGAGCACAAAAACGACAACTGAGGCAAAATCCTTTCCCTCAGTATGAGTCATGGGGGAGGGGGAAAGACAAATTAGACCTATAAGGATAGATAATTCCAACATAGTAAGGTAAGTGCCAAGTGAGAGTTGTTTACAAGTTCATGGGAATTGGGAAGAGGGCCATCTTACCTAACCTAGAGGAGATAGGCTTGCTGGAATAAGAGCCAAAAGAAAACAATTAACAAAATAAAAAGGCAACCTATGGAATGGGAGAAAATATTGACAAACCCTTTATATGATAGGGGTTTTTTAATATCTAAAATATCTAAGAAACTCCAACAACTCATTAACAAACAAACAAAAAACCCCAAATAACCCAATGAAAAATAGGCAAAAGTCATGAACAGAAATTTCTCCAAAGAAAACACATAAATGGCCAACAGGTTTATGAAAAGGTGCTCAACATCACTAATCATTAGAGAAATGCAAATCAAAACCACAATGAGGTATTACCTCACATCTGTTAGGATGGCTATTAAAAACAAAACAAAACAAAAAAGATAAGTACTGGTACGAATGTGGAGAAATAAGAACCCTGGTACACTGCTGGTGGGAATGGAAAATGGTATAGTCACTATGAAAAAAGTATGGAGGTTCCTCAAAATATTTAAAATAGAATTTCCATACGATCCAGTGATCCTGTTTCTGGGTATATATCCAAAAGAACTGAAATCAGGATCTCAGAGAGGTATCTGCATTCTCATGTTCATTGCAGCATTATTCACAATAGCCAAGATATGGAATCAACCTAAATGTCCATAGGTAGATGAAAGGATAAAAAAAAATGTGGCATATACATACAATGAAATATTATTTGGCCCTAAAAGAGAATGAAATCCTGCCATATGTGACAACATGGATGAAGTTGGAGGATATTACACTATGCCAATCACAAAAGGACAAATAATGCATTATCTCACTTATATAAGGTGTCCAAAACAGTCAAACACATAGAAGCAAAGAGTAGAATGATGCTTGCTAGGGGCTGGAGGGAAAGGGAAATAGGGAATTGTGCCACAGTTCAATAAAGTTTCAGTTATGCAAGATGAGCAAGTTCTAGAGATCTGCTGTATAACATAGTGCCTACAGTTAATGATAATGTACACCTAAAAATTTGTTGGGGGTAAATCTCATTTAAGTGTTTTCACCGCCGCCACCACCAAAACAAAAGAGAACTGTCAAGTGGAGGAAGTTAGGAAGGGCAACCAGGCAGAAGCAGCGGCAGTCAACACACGGGAGAGCGAAACAGATGACAAATGTTCAGAGGATGAGAACCAAACAGTGCAGCATTACCAGAATATAAAGTGCAAGGAAAAAGATGAAGCAGAAAGGGAGATAAAGGGTCAGGCCCTTAAATGTCATGCAAAGGAACCTATACTTTATCATACTCCTTTAGCATAATTATATTCATGTATAAATTACTTACACATTCTACTGTGTTATATACATTAAGAAATAGACTAAATGTACTTTTTACAAGAATGAGGGAAGGACAGATAGCTACTTTCTTTTTCCCACATTCCCAAAGAATCACCTGTGGTCATAGACTACTACTACTACTACTACTGAAATACTGGGAAGCCACTAAAGGTAATAAGTGGGGGAGTAACATAGTGAGATTTTCAGTTAGGCAGAAATTCTGGCTGCAAAGTAGAAGATGCATTTATGAGGGGCAAAAGCAAAGACCAGACGAGAGGCAAGCCTAGGCAAGAAATATCGAGTCCTGAAATTGGGGCAACTGGATAAGTAGGGCTGGATAAGAAGAGATGGATTTATGTAAATTTTAAAGATAAAAATTTATCTTTATCTTTACTAAGCGACTAATTTATGTGAATGTTAAGAAAGAGGGAAATGAGAGGAAGACTCTTAGAAAGAGGTGTCATTTACTGAGATCAAGGAGACAGGAACAAATTCATGAGTTCCATTTTAAACCTCCTCATCCACATGGTCCAATACCTAGGTATAATCCACATGCAGCTATTAAGCCCTTGAAATCTAGGAAGTCTGAATTAAGATGAATTCATTGAATCTCAAAGACTTGTAAGAGAAATGAATGTAAAATATCTCATGAATATTTTTACATTAATTGTATGTTGAAATATAGTACTTTAGATACACTAGATTAAATAAGAGATAATAAAAACTAATTTCAGGAGTGCCTGGATAGCTTAGTTGGTAGAGCATGCGACTCTTGATCTTCGGGTGGGAGATTACTTAAAAATAAAATCTTAAAATTAATTTCACCTTTGTTTTTATTTTTTAAACTGGCTATTAGAAAATTAAAAATTACATGTGGCTTGCATTACATTTCTATTGGTCAGCAATGATACTGAGTTTGACATGTCAGTAGAATATCCCAATCGATATATTCAATAGATAGTTGAATATATATGTAAGTCTCACTTTGTAAATGAGATGACAGGACAGGTCACTTACAAACTCATCAGCATGGGTACCCATTCCAACCTTCTTCCTATCAGTCTTAGAGGATTAGGTATCCCTCTTTGTTTTTAAATCTAACTTCCTTTTTTAAGATAACAGCTTTATTGAAAGCTGTAAGCTCCATCTTTTAAAGTATACAATTCAGCAGCAACCATCACCACAATCTAATTTCTTCACCCTAAAAAGAAACCCTGCACCCACTGACAGTCATGCCTCATTCCCCCAGCCCCTCTTCCTTCCTTCCTTCCTTCTTCTTTCTCTCCCTTTCTCCCTTCCTTTTCTTTCTCCCACCCTCCCTTTTCTTTTCCCTTTCTCTTTCTTCCTTCTTGTCCTTCCTTTCCTTTCTGTCTCTTTCTCTCTTACCTTCCTTCCTTTCTTTTTTTACATAGGCTCCACGCCCAGCGTGAAGCCTAATTCGGGGCTTGAACTCACTACCCTGAGATCAAGAGTTGGATGCTCAACTGACTGAACCCCAAAGTCAACTTTTCAACTAGAATTTTTCACTCCAGAGCCTGTTTCTGTATTGTTTGCTCTCCTTGAGCTGTTCTATCCAGTGTGTATTTGTTTTTAATATATACCTTTATTGTGAAACTGGAATCTGATTGAGACTTCAGATCCAACTACCACTTTAAAGGAAATACCAAGGACAGAAAAACATGTTAAACTATACTACAGGGATTCAATAAGCAAACTCTTTAGGCTTTTTCTTTAGGATACATAATGTGGTTTCTTCAACTAAAAAATTTTAAGGGAAAAAGGGAGGGAAGGAGGGAGAAGGAGAGTGAAGGGAGAAAATAAATACAGAAGGGGGATCTACAGATTTTGTAAGACATATAAATTTATTTAAATCCTGATTCAAATAGACTAAACACACACACACCAGTTATGGGGGAGTCTGGGAAAATAGCAATAGCAGCATAGTTTTCAAACCCTCCAAATGCCCACATAAAAACAGAGCAACTAGACAGCAAAACCAAAACTCCTTGACAACATTTACGAAACTAAATGACAAGGTATCCTCAACAAGCCCCAGAATACAAACCACCAATAGCCAAAAAGCCTGCACAATAAAGCAATACTCAATGGGGCTGCACTTAATGGAACTCAGAACAGGATAATCCCAAAATAGCCATCAAGAATTTACTAGAAAGCACAACAGGCCAATTTGAGAGCATCAGTTGAAACAAGGAGTTTTATCCTCTTCCATACCAGCTGAGTGCAAGGACCACAATAAAGCTGCAACAATCTAGTCTGTAGGACTCCCACAATTGATATTCAAGAGAAAATGACAAATATTGGAGGTAGGCAAAGTATCTACAGACAGTAAGAGTATTTGAAGAAGAAAAACAAAGCAAGAAAACAGAATAAATACTAAATGCTAAATTCAAGAACATGTTCAGAAATAAAAGATGATAATATCAACCCAGAATGACAACTACTAAAACATTCTAGTAAAATTCTGAATTTCAAAGAAAAAGAATCCTTTATGCATCTAGAAGAAAAGAGTATCAGATTTTTCAACAGCAAGCCATTATGCCAGAAGAAAATAAATATATTTAGGAAACTGAAAGAAAGCATGAACCAAGGATTTTTGTATCTAGTGAAATTGACTTAATTCAAATATAAAATGCACAAACCCAGGAATTATTATTTCCATGAGCTCTTCCTGAAGAAACCACTATAGCACAAGCTTCGGACAATCAAAATGACTAGAGAGACATTCACTTAACGCCTGGTGATGTTACCTATAGAT